GAGGGAGAGGAATCTAGGGTGCCTGTAGTCTCCGAATTACAAGGGACTAAGGGGATAGCACAGTTGATAAAGCTCTTGCTGCCCAGCATGGAAATCTAAGTTTGTCCTCTAACATACATGTAAAAGCTAGCTGTTGTCCCATTCCTCTGTAAGCATCTCATATGGGAAGCAGAGGAAGAGGGTCCCAAGGCTTAATTGGCCAATCTCTCTAGGTAATTGTTGAGCTCCAGAGTCAGTAAGAGCTTCTGTCTCAAAAATTAAGTTGAAGAGAGACTGACATTAACATCTTGAATCTTCATGCTGGTATCTGCGGCTCTTCCCCTGTCACTGCCCCTTCCCCCAGCACACACACACACCCACTCCTCAAAGTGTGTGTGTGTGTGTGTGTGTGTGTGTATGCGCACGTGCACACTCACATGAATGCTTAAACACAAAGGATAAAGAAAGAAAAATCTTGAAGCAACTCTTCAAACCCTTAAACTCTTGAGAGTTTGTATAATGATAATAATTATATAAAGAAACAGCTACCTATACATACAAGTTTGCTTCCCTTGTTCATTAAATGTGCTTATAATTAGTCTTTAAATGAAGATCCGACATATGCAACAGTCCATCTTGTCCCACCTTCATGGATTATTACCATGAAGCCACTTCTAAGGTTAATCCCCAGAAGGAAGAGCTACTCCTAGATGGGAACAAATAATTTGGAGCTACCTGGACAGCACAAGACCTTCATTATGGGACCCTCACTGCACATGTGAGAACAGCATTTGTTACGCATACTTGATATGCTTGAATAAGTACGTTTCAACTCATGAAGACAAATGATGGCTTGGCTTATCATTTGGTTCCTTTATCCTTTCCTGTCTTCATGCAGATTGACAGTTCTTTAGGGACTCTACTTGCACACATCTCAAAGCATATTATTTAGGGGTCATTCACTCTGAACACCCTGGTGTTAGAATGAGAACATACTGACAACCAGAAGACATGGTGCATTACAATGCAGAAAGTGCCTTTAAGAGACTAAACACTTTGATTAGATAAAACATTTATCCTCATCATGAGATTTATTTTGCATATTAATATAAAAGCATTTATTGAGATCAAGAAATAAATTCTTTGTTTATTATCTTATGAAGAAAAAGGTATATACTTTTTTTTTAGAAATATTATCCAAAAGCTGGGTGGTTGTAGTGCATGCTTTAATCCCAGTACTTGGGAGGCCAAGGCAGGTGGATCTCTAAATTCAAGGCCAGCCTAGTCTACAGAGCAAGTTCCAGGACAGGCTCCAAAGCTACACAGAGAAACCCTGTCTCAAAAAACCAAAAGACAACAACAACAAAAAAGAAGTGAAGAAATACTATACATAAAACAATTAGCCATTTGATACCAAGTTCTTGTGTAATACTTCAAAATTTGGATCTCAGATTCTTAACCAAAATTCTTTGAGAACTTTTTTCCCAATATCATATGCACAGTAAAACTGGACAATACAGTCATATGTATATATATATATATATATGTATATATATATATGTATCATGGTTTTAGGAACCACTTAAATGAAAAATAAAAATAACTGAAATTGAGACATTAAAACTTTAATTAGCCCAATTAAAAAATGGGGCACTGAGCTGAACAGAGAATTCTCAACAGAAGAAGTACAAATGGCCAAAAGACACTTATGGTTATGCTCAATCTTCTTAGCGATCAGGGAAATGTAAGACGTCACATTAGAAAAATAGACAAATGACATCACTAGTCAGCTCATAGAAGCAAAACACCTACAGGCTAACAAGCTTAGAGTTAAGTACCCGTGCTTATCTGTAATCACATAAAGACAAAGAAAGATACTGAGATAATGTCTACACATCAGATTGAATATCCTACATTTTGAAGTGTTGATAGCGTAAAGTGCGACAGCTATGTATATGCAGTACAATCCAATTTTCGGTTACTGATAATTCGTTCGCTGGACATTCTCACACAAATCAAGGGAAACAATTGGTTATTGATCATAATGAGTTGGCATTTTTCTTAACTACTGTTTACTGAATGGAGAGTTCTAAATTTAGTGGATGCACATGGTGGATTACTGAAGAGGGTTTAGAAAACATACAATGGATTCCAATGTACTTCTGTGCTAACGAGTCAAAACAAAAGGGTTTCTACAGCAAATCATATCTCTTCATCAAATAAAAATAGACAAAGGGTAATGTTCAATGCCTCTTTTAAAACAACATATAAAAATAACAGAAGAAACACATCACAGTGGTTGACTAAGGAAACTAAAGACTACACATCAGGGATGAACATAATACAGAATTATAATGTTGACAGTCCTCTATACACTAATATATACATGCATACACACAGCACATACAAACATGTATATATGTTTCTACACACACACACAGGGTAGCAGACAAATCTGCAGGAAATAATAAATACAGTATGCTAGTAAATAAGAAGACGATGATTATACATATTCTATGTCATTATAAAAACTGATTATGTAACTAATCCAAATTAATAAGTAATATAAAAGGAATATTAAAACTTTTAACATTTATTTTCAACACTGTATTTGAATAGTCTTTAAATTTAATTTACTTTGTATATTTAGTATACACGAAAAAGCCCAAAATACTTCTTAAATATATTATTTATTTATGATTCATTTCGTTGTCCTATAAAAGACACATTTTCTTTATAGTTACAAGATAGGTAAAACACATGTTGATTGTGTAAATAGAAAGTTTGACCTCTTGTTAAGAATGCATGTACATACCCTCCTCGGGACCTCTGCTCTTCAGAATAACTGTTTATCACACAGATCTCAGTCCCAAGCTGTAACCTTAGACATTCATTGCCAGACTACAAGATTCAAGAAAAGCAGCATTGCTATCATCTCAATCGCATTTTTAATTTATAACAATCTACATATAATATCTATCATATATATACATGCATATATATATACACACACACACACACACTCACACACACCATACACATATATGCAAAATTTCCTTCCCTCCCTATTGTAAGGGGAGTGGCGGGCTGCATTCCCGGTGCCCTGCCGCCCGCATGGCTACCTTATGCCTGAAATAATTACACAGAAACTGTATTCTTTTAAACACTGCTTGGCCCATTAGTTTTAACCTCTTATTGGCTAGCTCTTACATATTGATCTAACCCATTTCTAATATTCTGTGTAGCACCACAAGCTGGCCTATCAGGAAAGATCTTAACATGTGTCTGTCTGGAGTGGGAGAATCATGGTGACTGCCTGACTCAGCTTCTTTCTCCCAGCATTCTGTTCTGTCTACTCTGCCTACCTAATTTTCTGTCCTTCAGGGCCAAGCAGTTTCTTTATTAATTAACCAATGAAAGCAACAGATAGATAAAGACCCACTTCCATCACCTCCCTCCTTTCATTTGTCCCCTCTTCCTTCCCTCTTTGTCCCTCCATCCCTCTAATTCAACATTTATCAACCTGTGGGTGTTGGATCCACTTTGTGAGGCGGGGTCAAACAGTCCTTTCACAGGACTCTCCTAATACCATGAGAAAACACAGATATGTACATCATTATTCATAACAGTAGCAAATTGTGCTTATAAAGTAGCAACAAAAAATAAGTTTATGGTTGGAGGTTACCACAAAATCAGGAATTGTATGAAAGGGTTGCAACATTAGAAATGTAAAGAAACACTGCTCTAATTGGACTCACTGAGGATACAGAGGCAGGAGGATTTGCATGTTCAAGGTCAGTCAGATCTACATAGAAAATTCCAGATGGATCAGGGCTACACAGAGGCATGAAAGTAGGAGAGAAATATATGGGGGAAGATCCAGGGCAGTAAGGCACTAAGTGAGCTCAAGAAACAGTATACACAAGCTAAGAAACTGTCTGATAATAAGTCATTCTCAAGCAGTCAAGAAACATAATATTTCAGGCTTTATGTGTTTGAATACAGTTTGCTTTATAGTTAATAAGCAAACAGCCAGGCATACCTGAATGCTGTGGTCTAGAATAACAATAAATATGTTAGTTCAATAATTATAAATTGAGATTATTTTATAAATTATTATTTGAAATATAGGACTTTTTCTTTGGCAGAATTTTAATGTGCCAAATAATTATTAAAAAAATTCTGTAATCATTTTTATCTCCTTTCAAATAACCCACAACAGGAAGACATTAATTGCTACCACTGAACATTAAAGTAAAGCACGTGTTCTGAAAATATTAAAAATGATCTTCCTATAAGTCTGGTAAGATGGTTTGGTGGGTAAAGAGCTTGCTGCACACGTTTGATGATTTGAATTTAGTTCCTAGAATCCATGGGGGAAGGAAAGAACCGACTCCCTAAAGTTATCCCCTGACCTTAATGGACAAGTGTGGGCACTTAGATACACACACACACACACACACACACACACACACACACACACACCACACCACACACACACAAAAAAGTAATTAAATAAAAGATTTCTTCCTATTGAAAAAGTAGAACAAAACTGAAGCAAACATACAAGTTCATATTGTGAGAGTAGACAATGCAGCCTCATGTTACATGTGAGCATTGCACAGGACTGAAGCACCACACAATTACACAGATCAGCTTAAATATACGGCAACTAGTAAAACTAGTGCTTCTTCTATCCCACTCGAGGTTGCCCATGCTTCTCACTATCTAATGTATTAGCTGGGAGGTCATGTCAGGTCCATTTTGTATGCTTCAAAGTAATCTTTACTCATTGTTAACTAATACTTCCTTTTTTTTAATTTTTGCCTTGCCTTAGATTCTCTTGCTGATTTTTGGCATATTAAGAAGACCAATACAAATACTTTCCTTATTTTATAACTTGTCCTCTGACTTTGTGACATTTTAACCATACAGATTTTTCATTAATTTTTATCAAATTAATCAAACTAATTCTCAGATATTTAATAAGATTATTTTTATTGTTTAAAATGTCTATCACGATTTTACAGTGTTTTATAAAATTATAAATATGTACAAATATATAGCAATAAAACATGAACATATTGTTTTTGCTTTATTTCCTGTTTGTTTATTATTGTGACATGAGAGAGCAGTTTGGGTTGTTTAATACTAGGAATAAAAGGATTTTCTTATATAAATTTATTTCATTTACATCCTGGCCTCAGTTTCCCTCCTGCTCTGTACCCAGGCCCTCTCCTCATCCCCTCTATTCCCATCCTCTCCAACCACTTCTTCTCCACTTCTGTTCAGGAAATGTCAGGCCTCCCATGGATATCAACAAATATGTCATATCAAGTTGTAGTAATGTAGCATGATTAATAAAGACCCAGAGACAGAAATTGGATTTCAACCTGAAGGTCCAAAAAGCAAAACAACCAGTTACTGGCTCTTAACTCTACGTCAGTCTGAAATGGTGATCCTGCCTCCAGGAATTTCAGAATGTGACTGTGTCTGTGAGCTGTCTCCTCCCTTGTTACATTTCTCTCTAGGGCTGAGATTAAAGGCGTGCACCACTAGGATTAAAAACATGCATTGCCCAGTGTCTATAGCAAACTAGTGTGGCTACTGGGAGTAAAGGTGTGTGCTATCACTGCCCGGTCTGTAAGGCTAACCAGTGGGGTTGTTTTACTCTCTGATATTTAGGCAAGCTTTATTTATTAAAATACAAATGAAATATCACTACATAGTAAGACTAAGTCCCTCTGCAAGTATTAAGTCTGGGCAAGGTGACCTAGGATGAGGTGTAGGGTACTAAAAACCAGTAAAAGAGTCAGAGACAGCCCCTACTCCTACTGTTAGGTGTCCCACAAGAAGACCAAGTTACACGACTGTAACATACTTGCAGAAGAAATTAATGGTAAAATTTTCCTCGTTCTAGTTTTCCTCCATTTTTGTTTTTCTATGTCTGTCAGACACAGTGTTAACTCAGTCGGAAAAATCACAGGCTCCATTTTTAACAAACATCTTGAAGCTTGTTATTTTTTCCTTGTGTCCAGATCCCCATCAAGACCAAACTACTTTGTCACTGAAGCTCGGCTACCAAAGGAGGGCAGATGCTGATCTTCAGATGTACATGGGCTATTTGTTCATCTGTTTACCACACAGAAAATGAATGTGTATGACAAAATTCAATGCAAATTACATAACCCTTCTCAGTTTTATCAGACTCATCTACTTCAGTTAAAGTTCAATATAAAGATGTTCTCTCTCCAATGTCTTAGTATGCTTTACTTCTGCTAGAACAATCTTTCCCCTCTTCTTGCAGGATGCATCTTCATCCCTTCATGTCCCTGCCCACTTCTCTTCTTATGTAACTCTAGGTAAATCTTCATCCATTCACTTCCAGCATCTGTATTTCATTTCCTTTTTTCTTGCTAGCATATATCATCCTTGATAAAGTCAATGGTGATTTGAAGCTTCTGCCCACCTCTTCTGACTACAAAACAAGTACCATGAAAACAAGGTCATTTTTTTTATACAACTGAAGAAATTTAACCAACATCTATGGCTCTTTAATAAATATGTTGATATGGAATGCCTCAAAACATCTTATTAGATTAATACACATACAAGAAATCTTGAGTAATTTGTTTCTGAGATTTTTGTTATGGAAAGGGGAATATTTTCTTCCTTAATTTTGATTTGATTTTTTTTGTATATGATATGACACATAAGGGCGTATATTTATAATACCTATGTAGCTACTCAAATGGCTCTAATGCAGTTTTCTTAGCACTTCATTTCAATCTATAAAAGATTTTGATCTATACTGTCATCTACATTGTCATCTTTTTTCTCTTTTCAGTTTCAATATTGCTACTTTTATAACACAAATTTCTTCTTCTAAACCTTTGCTATAAATAATTTAATTTTATTGACTATATTATTAAATACATATATAACAATTATATTGCAAATAAATAATAGTTTAACATCCTATACCAGTAAATTTATTGAAATAGTTAAGCAGGTTGTATTTGTCAAATGTCTTGGACATAAACATAAGTTTATGAACATAAATCTAAGTAAGTTTTGTGATAGCAAGGTCCATGACAATTTTATTTTCAATGCTCTTGTTATAAATTCTTCTCACATTGCAGTCACTTGAATGGATGGTGATAAACTAAGCACGTTTCTAGATAATGAAGCTGGAATAGCTGTTTACTTTTTTCTTACGCATCTTGAAGCAGGGTACTTCAAACAATTTCTTTATTCTAAGAACATATTTACAAGAGAGATCATTGCCTCTTGCTACAGAAAACATCCTGACTTGTTTATAGCTTGGAAATGGCATTAAAATCTTTCCTATAAAATAGAAAAGTCTTACACTATAAAGAAGATGTAAAGAAAATCCACATGGTTGTTTTCAGAACTATATAAGTAGAGAACAATGTAAGAAGAAATCTAAAGTTCATGCCCATCCCTCTCTACAGGACAGAAGTGGAAACCAGGAAAATGCACTGGTGACTCAGCCATGGAGAAATAGAGAAGGGGTCAGAACACAGCTGGTCCATTTTATGAGCAGTTGCACTGCACTCAGAAGTGTCAATGGGATGCTCTGTTTGTTTTACCTGAGTTTATTATTGGTGTTTTTGTCAAACAGATATGTGTCACATTCATTCTAGGTCTTATGCAATATGTAACATCTCTAAACTTGAGGTTCACACCCTCCTCAGAATGAGATTTTCTCTATAACCCACTATTTTTAGATCACATCATCCTCTAGATAATTTATCACATGTGGTCAGATGCTACCAAATTCTTCTTCCTTCTTCTGATAACTCCACATACAATCAACCCACACACTATATTACTGTTATTACTGTTTCTAAAACTTCATTCTATTTTATTTCTCTATGTCAATATCACTTTTTTTAAATATTTATTTATTTATTATGTATACAATATTCTGTCTGTATGCCTGAAGGCCAGAAGAGGGCGCCAGACCTCATTACAGATGGTTGTGAGCCACCATGTGGTTGCTGGGAATTGAACTCAGGACCTTTGGAAGAGCAGGCAATGCTCTTAACCACTGAGCCATCTCTCCAGCCCCGTCAATATCACTTTTCTATTATCTATTTTCTAACAGATTTCCAAATTATTTAGCAATCGACTAAAGTTCCTCAAGACAGTCATTCTCAGACTAGCTCCATTAGTGAGAAATTCTGAGTGCTTGTTGATGCTGGTAGACAGTTGTGTCCTGTCTCCTGTTGTTTCTACTATTTGGGGTACTGTGCCCCTTACCTCCCTGTTGCTCTCTTGTCTTACCTATGCAAAACAATCTAGATTCAACTTGAGGATTGAATAAGAGATTAATCTCCTGTAGCATAAATGTTGCATAATTCTGTTTTTTAAGGTCTTAGCACCTGAGACATCTGTTACATATGTGTGCTTTCTGACTAAATAGATTTATCACTTTGAGATACCGGTTACTAAAAGGCCAGGGTTTGCTAGCTTTTAACCAAGTTTAATTAAACAAAATAACAGATTAAAAAGATCTGTTAAGAGAAGAAAATTGTTACCTGGTCATCTATGGATTTATCAGATGAAGTAACGTTACATAAATAAGCTATGATAATATTTCTTCGGGTAGTCAAGTATTTGACATTCTAAGACAGGAAACATTGAAAAGAAACATACATGTATACTGACATAAACAAATATATATGTTAAAACCGGGCAGTGGTGGCGCACACCTTTAATCCCAGCACTCGGGAGGCAGAGGCAGGTGGATCTCTGTGAATTCGAGACCAGCCTGGTCTACAGAGCTAGTTCCAGGACAGGCTCCAAAGCCACAGAGAAACCCTGTCTNTAAAAATATGAGTAGCTGCTGAGGACTGTACTGAAGCAAGCAGAATGTAAGAAGCAAAATGATGTAGGAAGGTCTTGATCTATCTGTTGTTTCATTGGTTAATTAATAAAGAAACTGCTTGGCCTGATAGGGCAGAAATATAGGTGGGTGGAGTAGACAGAACAAAATGCTCGGAAGAAGGGAAGTGAGGCCAGACACGATGGAGCCAGCCACCAGATCAGACATCCTGAATCTTTCCCGGTAAAATACCTCCTCATGGTGCTACACAGATTATTAGAAATGGGTTAACCAAGATGAGAGAATTAGCCAGTAAGAGGCTAGATATAATAGGCCAGGCAATGGTTAAAAGAATACAGTTTATGTGTTGTTATTTCATGTTTAAAGCTAACCATGCAGGAGCCGGGCAGGACAAAAAACAGGCCTGCCTGCAGCCCACTACAGCAAAATACAGGATTATGTTTCTCTGACCTTGCCCAGTGATATCACTACTATTTGGTACCTAACTCTTTCTAAATAAATTCACAGGATGAATCATATATGGACTCCGTGTTGAGGCATATCATGATAGCCAAGAGGGAAAATATTTATTACTGACAGTGATTGATAGATTACTCTTTGTTTGTTATAGTGAGTCATTAGTAAACAATGTAAAGGGAGCAAGATAAGTTGAAATGATTTAATTTTACCACTTACAAAATGACTTTTGTATTTGCTACACGCTTTCTAAATTAAAATACATTTTTTGTAACTTTCCTTGAGCCTGATAACTTCATCCTCCTTTTACTTTAAAAGCCTACTAAAATTACCTCTCCAGAATTGTGCGTGTACTTTGGCAGGAAATGAGAAGCTCAGAAAGCATGTCTAAGACGGATGTTATGAAGATTCTAATGAGATCTGCTTTCAGGCAGCTGTCTGTCTGCTCCAGACTCCCTTCTCTGTTGCCCTGTGTTTCTCTCCATTTTAATAGGTCTCCTCTCTCTTTTTCTTCTCTCTCAGGATCCCGGCACAATTAAACCGATCTGTTCCCTGGGCAGAAACACATAGAAAAGGGGTGCAGAGAGGTCAGCCTTGAATGTCTCTGAGTCTTTTGTCAAATCAGCAACTGTAGACAGAAGCTTTTATACCACCTGGTTCTGCAGCCCTTCAGAAACACACAGAGGCTTACCTGGTTTCTATGGCAACTAGTGTGGCTACTGGGATTAAAAGTGTGTATAACCACTGCCTGATCTATAAGGCTGACCAGTGGGGCTGTTTTACTCTCTGATCTTCAGGCAAGTTTTACTTATTAAAATACAAATGAATTGCCACTACAAGTAACAACAAAGGTCAGACCCCTCTGCTATTTTCCTGTTACCCTGAAGGTATGTCATATTTATAGAGTTTTGAATTTGAAATAATCCAATTCCAATTTTAAATTACAGTTTTGCTTAAATACAGATATGAGATAGATTACTTATCACTGCTAAGTCTCACGTTGTTTGGTATACAATGGTAATATCCAGAGGGATGAAACAATAGGCCAGTGACTAAAGAAAATATTAATCTACTGTCTGCGTTTTTGTCTGTGCATACCTGAAGGTATGATGAATGACTCAAATGCAGAATATATAAACAGTAGTTGATACTCAATAAGAACCAAAAAAGACAAAGGAATAAAACCATGGACTAAAGTTTTCTGTAGACAGGTGAAGAATTAAGGTATTTTTCAGATCAGTGGCAGATCTTGCCTCAGAGAAAGGTAATGGCACCTGAGGAACAACATACAAGGTTGTTCTCTGCTATCTATATACATATGCATAGAAGATATTATACCTCTACATACACACGTGAACATGAATATGCAATATACAGAGGAAAACAAGCCCAAGCTTTCTTTTAAAGCAATGCATATATTTATTGCTTTAAAAATTTCTTTTTAGCTGGTTTTACGTGTACATACTCAGTTCCAGCTCTCAAATGCTTCAAAGATGTATGGGTCTCAATTTTACACCAATAAACACAAATTTATTTAATATGAGAGAGGGAAACAGACCCTACCTTACTTATTAAAAGTAAGCTACGATATGACACATTTCTCAGAACTATATCTGCAAAATTACCTTATTTAATCTTCTTGATAGCTTGATTTCCAGTTTTGTGACATTTTGTATTTGTTGTTAATAGCTAAAACTAAATAATTATAGATAGCTCACCATTTTAATTTAGCTAATAGTATTAAGTAAAATAGCAATAATGTTCTACTGTTGCAATGTATTCAGTTATACTTTACCTATAAACACTCTGCACATTAGGAGTGGCTTATCCAGGTCCTTGATCCACAAACATTAAAAAGAACAAACATAAGTTCATTAATATGCATATTTCTCAGGCAAAGAGTAACTCTCAAAGAGCTAATTTAGACCTTTTTCTTATGTGGCATTGGCAAGGAGTGCTTTTAGAGCAATGACAAAGGAGAAAGAAAGAACTTTAAGTCTCTGGGAGCTGGAAACAGCAAACGCAAATACACAGTATTATACAGAGTTGATGAGGACTCCTCCAGAAGCTTTGTTAAGTGGGATCCTCTGGCGCTGTCTCCCAGCTAAGCATCTAAATGGTCTAAAGCCTTCTTTTGGTAACAGTCCTTACTGGCAGAACAGAGGACTATAGGAATTCATATGCTGCTCTTACGTACTTAAGGGGGGAAACCGGACTTTTCCTTAGCTTCTTTTCATTTACATCAGCTCGAAAGAACCCTTACAGCACATTTTGTAATAATATATTCTGCTACCCTCCAATGCTTACACAAATGATTCTGCTTCTATCACTTCTATGACACTGACCATGAAGCATCCATGTCCTTTGTCTTCTGTCAGGATGACTTTTACATAAAGCTTACTAAGAAAGGTGTTATTTGTCTCTTTCCTGTGTAGAACTAATTATAATAACAGTTCCTTGATCCTTCCCTTACATTTTGTTCTTCCTGGAAAGGTTATATCAAAAGACAAACCTGGCCAACGATTCTTTTCATCACATCCTGGGAATGAATCATGCACCATGTATGGAAAATTAGAAACTAGCAAAACTATTTCACAGCTTCACTTTGTTCTCACGATGCCAGTTACACAGTGGAACTAAAATATAAAATTTAGCAAAATATCCTTGGGATTATATTTTTGTAGAAAGGCCAGACATTTTATTATTGCTTTTGTCTCTTAACGTAAAGCATATCTTGTTATTTGCATTTGAAAATAAACACAAATGGTGAAAAAGAAAATGAGGGGGGGCAGGGACTTCCCAGCCCTGACTCGAAGAAGCAGGGGCTTCCCTTGGCATGCACATGCTGTTCATCAGTACAAGTTAAGGATTGCTCTGCTGAGGGGGACTAGCTTTTGTTGTTTGGTTGCTTTTTCTTTTGCTTGTTTTTGCCTAAATATTTATGCTCTCATTCCATTTCTTGTTCTTGCTAGCTTCCCTGCTCTCTTAAACCTTTAACTTCTCTTTCTCAACACAGTGAAAAAGTCATCAACCATGAGAAATTATAAGATGTTGTTTCAGCCAAGGAGCCCAGGGTGAGGACAAGATGTAAGGCAATCTTGAGAAGTAGATATGCAAGCATGCACACACACACACACACACGCACACATACACACACACACACATTCCAATAGATGAAGATTGCGGCATCTAGGCTAGCATTACAACACAAGGGGCCAGCCTTTAAATTAAAAGCAAACCAAAATAAAACAATTCAGGATCTCTGAATAAACTGGTGACTTAAGCTATTCAACAGTGATTCAATACTGACTCAACTACAACAAATGCTGCCATCTTACTCATGTGTGCTAATCAGCTTCTCATCCCCGTGACAAAACACCTGAGGACAGCACCTAAACAAGGAAAGATGTAGTTTGCTTGACTCATCGGTTCAGACCCATGGTCCTCTGGCCCCACTGCTCCTCCCATGTGATGATGAGGCAGAACTTCTCAGCAGGGGAGTTTGTGGAAAACAGAACTGCCTGTCTTGTGACATAGAAAGGGAGGAGAAAGGGGTAGAAAGAGAAATGGGCTTGGGTTTGGAGAGATCTACCCTTTCAAGTACCACCTCAGTGACTCACTTCCTCCAACCAAGACCATCCATAAACTGATTGTAAAGTATGAGCTAATCCTTGGATTGATGATAAGAGCTTTCAGAATTCAGTTAGCTCTTCCCATTGCTGCCCTGTGGACCAAGCATTCAGTGTGTGAACGCCTGGATATCTTATATCCAGTCCATAGCACAATATTAAGAACATCAGAGATAATATGTGGGATGAGTAAGAACTATTCAGTCTTCCCAACTTTCCTATAGATCTAAAAACTGTAAATGATTATTTTAATATTGTCTTTCCTACAAGTGCTTATGAAATAATCCCTGAACATTTGTTCTTAATCTATATGCACATGTTGTTAGAACTATCTTACATAGGTTTATGAAACTTTGTGTAATTCCTACAGTTCTCTTAATTGCATTTTCACTACCTCTCTTACGTCTATGTCTATATTAGGATTTGCAAAGGCAATGAACTCTCAGTGGAGTCCTTGCTATCTCATCACCCCACTTGCAGAATAATTTTCACTGGCTTTTGTTCTATTATAATTAAAAGTATGTAGTCTTTACCTGCATTTTTAGGAAGAACAGGACTTGGAAATGATTCTTGACATGCAAGCATGATGATATGAGCTTGTGTTCCCAGGACCCACATAAAAAGTTGTGTGTGGTAGCATGCCTGTGTATGGGTAGCCACATAAAAAGCTGTGTATGGTAGCCAAGTGATGGCAGGCAGAGGGACATAGATCTCTGGAGTTCGCTTGCAAAACTCCAAGTTCAGTGAAAGTGTCTGTCTCAAAAAATAAAATGTTGGTCGCTTCTCACCTTTTGACTAAGATCAAGTGTAATATCTGTTCTTATCAATTTAATATATGATACGTCCTCTATCTGAGGACAACATATTAAATGGATTTTTGGAAGTAGAAATTTACTCTGTCCACTCCACTCATCGACCTGGTATTGCAGTACCTCCAGGAACGGAGGTACTCTGTGTTAATCCCTTGGGGAATTAAAAAAAAATGTTGAGACGTTAATAACAGCAGCAACATTGACATCTGTCTTCCAAGTGAATGCACGCACATTTGTGAAGGTACATGAACTTCTCAACAAATATTCAGGTAGAAGAAATAGTTCAAAGATATTATGGAACTAATCTAAATAATGAATGTGAAGATGTTAGAAGATCCAAGGAAAGCCCTGCATTTTGATGCCCTGTTGGTATTATGAATTTTAGAGGTCTCTTGAGGATTTTATACAGCATAATTCTTGAATTATGGGCCTTCAACTGTTGGCCATGTTATACCAAAAAAGAAATTATATACATAATCAATTATATACATATTTATGTGTGTACAGTTTGTGTGTTTTGAGTGTCTATAAACATGCATGTGTATGATTACAGTCATATACATACATATTTATAGATGTACATACATTTTCATAATGAAGAAACTAATAAGACTATATTATTTATAAGCCAATGTAATCTGCTTTATTAAAAAACTACATTCTTTTTTTGAGATACCTGTTTTTTTACTGATTTTTTTGAGCTCTACATTTTTCTCTGCTCCCCTCCCTGCTTCTCCCTTCTCCATCAACCATCCCACAAGGTCCCCACACTCCTAGTTTACTCAGGAAATCTTGTCTTTTTCTACTTCTGATGTAGATTAGATCCATGTATATCTCTCTTAGGGTCCTCATTGTTGTCTAGTTTCCCTGGGATTGGGATTTGTGGGATGGTTTTCTTTGCTCTATGTTTTAAAACTACTTATGAATGAGTACATGTGATAATTATCTTTTTGTGTCTGGGTTACCTCACTCAAAATGATGATTTCTAGCTCCATTCATTTGCCTACAATATTCAAGATGTTGTTATTTTTTTCTGCTGTGTAGTACTCCATTGTGTAAATGTACCACATTTTCTTTTTCCATTCTTCGGTCAAAGGGCATTTAGAAGTATGATATATTAACCCACTGCCTTATCATTAATTACTTATATCTTACACAGTAAAAAGAGAGTTTGCTCTCATTTCTGGCTATAATTGACCAAAATATAAAATAAATAGAAAAACAAACATGGAGTATATTAGGGTTTAAATTAAGAAGACTTTCCATCTGTACAATCTCAACCCTTGTTTCAATAATTCCATCTATTTTCAAACATTCAAGATAGTAATATAGAAACAAACATGGTTGTCCACAAAGACACTGACATATGTCTCCTTTATTTAAAAAAAAGTTCAGATAAAAATTTCAAATATGTTTAAAATTCTGAAAAAGAAAGTATATTGCATCTTAACCCCTAAAGAAGATTTTTGAATATCTGGATTTAATAAAGCAGGTTATATGATTGATAATCAGTCACTAGTCTTAAGTAAATAAATAAACTCAGTACAGTAGCTCCCTTATGTGAATTTTATCTTAGAATTCTCCACTAGGGAAGAAAGAGGGAGAGTTAGGGGAAGAGAGATAGACACACACACACACACACACACACACAGAGGTGTTATCACAAATTTTCTATAGACAGATGAACTGTTTGAAGTTTCATTAACTTTTGTTGATTCATAAATCAATTATTAACATATAAAACACTTTGAAGAGATGTACAAATATTTATACAACACAAAATTATTCTCCCATCTATTATCATTTATTGACTGTTCTTGCAAAACAAAGTCTTTGTGTAAACTAGACATAGACTAGACACCGATCTGATAAAAACTATGGCAGGAAAGGTAAAGAGGCCCTAACTTTCAGCACTCTGACTTAGAACACATCTCTAACATCCATCTTTCTGTCTCTCATTACTGTTTGGTTTTCACAGAAGCCCAGGAAACAACTCTGAATGAACTCTGTAAAAATGAACATTCAACATTTGACACAGTGTGTGGTTAGAGAAAATAAAAGCAAGTGTGATGTTAAAGAATTAAAAATAACTTGAAAAAAAAAACCATTTTAACACATAGGATAATTTAGTGAAAACATTTGTTAAAAACTAAAATTTCAGTTATTTTAAATGCTTTAGATCTTGAGAATCTGTCTGGGATTTGCATTTTCATATTTTACTCACATATTTTTGCTTTATTGCATCTTATATGGTACTTTTACTATATATGGTTAGTTATAACTTTTATAAACTCAAGATGAAAAGGCTTATGTGGAGGATGACTTCAATGATGCACACTTTACCACTGAGCTACACTCTCAGCTCATTAAGTCAGCTTTTTAATTTTAAAACATATTTGAGCAGTTCTTTGAGAATTCTAAAAGATATATTTTAATCATATTCACTCCAATTGCTCCCCCTAATTCTACCCATATCTGCTCCTACTTCCCAACCCTCAAATTCATCTTATCTTTTTAAAAATTTAATGACCCATTTGTGATATTTATATACTTTTGGGTGTGTGGTCATCCACTGGTGTATGGCCAACTTACCAAAGCCAACTTTAGATAAAATTGGCTTTTCTCTAAATTGTACATAGTTCCTCTGATGGGAGTAGGAGGTTACCAATCCCTTTCTACTCCATGTTACAGTGCTGAATGGCTTAATCTCTGGAGGCAACAGTAAATCTTGTTAGTTCATGACTGTAATGCTCTTGTCAGGCCCAGAAGACATTTCTGGGAGATAGTGTTTTTTTTATATATGGCAGGGGCACTGTACCAATTAACTCCTAACAAGAGAGTTGCCCAAGCAAGACTTGCATGATGATAACACCATTTGATATGTTATAGAACATGGATAGAAGAAATTCCATTTGGTTCCGCCACTAGGTAGAGAGCCAGAGGTGCTCAATGACGGCTGAGAGAGGGATAATCAGTCTCTTGAGTGGACGAGTCCCATATAGGCTGTGTGATCCTGAGCAGAGAGCTCTTGACACATGTACAGATAAGCAATGTGAAAGGACTCAGGAAGTTGTGTGTGTGTGTGCGTGTGCACATGTGTGTGTGTGTGTGTGTGAATGTGTGTAATAATTAAGGAAGAGATCCTTAACATTAGAGGAAGGTATCAGGGAAGGGGAGGGCAGAGTGATGTAGATACAGTAGATGCATTCTCTTATATGAAGTTCTCAAAATAATAGAATTTGTACTTAAAAAAAAAGAAAAACGAGGCTTCCAAGAAAATCTCAAGATAAACCTAGGGTGGTTCAGCACTCTTGTAATTCTAAAGGGATTCTTTTAGAATACTTTTTCTGGTGAAATTAAAGGAAAAATAAAAGGTTAGGACATAAAGAAATGATTACGATTTCATTGTTCAGAGAACTAATAAATCACTTACGTTTGCTGTAAATAGTATAGCAAAATTGACACAACAGAATGACTAATCATTAAAATAACATTAGGTGTGAAAATTTAGATACATTAAAATGCTGTTATAGTGTATATCATTTTCTAAATGTAGATGCCTCATACTTGATTCAGGGTGTCGAATGGCATTTTTCTCTCTGTATTTTGCATGCTGTAAACTAACCTGTTATATCTTCACTTTGAATCTTACATGTTGAGCAAGTCTGAGTCTTAATGTGGAATGATAAGCTTAGTAATATGTGTCTAAAGCTAGAGATGAAAAACAAAACAAAACAAAACTAACAAACAAAAACCGTGCCAAGTATTTCAGCAACTATGAAATCACATAAGAGTTTAGGTGTTAGGGCTTGCAGCCGAGAGATTGCAACAGAAAGCCATATTGTGGTGGCACTCGACCTGCAACTATTTTACAAGCCATCATCAGTAGCCATGAAGCATGCAGGTAAAACAAGGAGTGACAGTGCCATTCAAAACACAAGCAGTCAGTTCCAGCTATTGTGTTAGCCATGTTGACGCACCAGGACATCTGAAATTAGGTGAGTTTCTTCTTTCAGTAAAAAGTAGGATATTGGCATATGGATAAGCCTCTAAGTACCCCATAGAACACATCATCTGTACAGAGATATGCCACCATTTTGAAGCATTCTCATTAGGCAATTATGAAAACGCTCACAAATTTAAGCATTTTCCTTAAAACGCTGGTAGCTGTAAACCCTGTTAATGAATGGAGTGAAGCGGCTTGGGTTACAAAATGCATAGTCAGGTGCAAACAACTTGTTGTAACTCCCTAGGCTCATTGAGAATTGGGAGAATTGAGAACTTTTTTTTTTTTAAAGGAAATTTAACTAGTTCCATCTTCTTGCTTGTGCTATTTGCTAGTGATCTTTCCTTCAGCTTTGGGACTAAATATAAATTCAGAATAAGGACTTTATTCTAAGAAGTTCTCACATTTTGGTGGAGCTGTGATTCTTTATTACCGCATAAAGATCCAAGAAAATAACATGCAAGGCTCTGGCCTTTCAGTATCATTTGTCTCCAGAATGATGGCTTTTTCTACTCTATAGGGTCTCATCGTAGCCACATTGTCTTTCAAATGGATAACTGGAGTCAAAGCTAGGAGGCTTTAGTATTTGGAAGCAGAAAATAGAAAAATATTTATAAGCCTAAACAGTGCCAGGATGTCCACAATTCCTTTGTAGGAGAGGTTAATTTGTAGATTGCTGTCTAGTGAACATGCAAACAATTTCAGCACCATGGGAAAAAGTTCCAAGATCATAGTTCATTGTTACTGATTTTATATCAAACTCAACCATCGTCTTCTATCCATCTTCTTTAATAACCTACTTCAGTGACTTAGGATCTCAAATGTTCTTTCAGTGGGTTTTCCATCCAATTAGCCCAAAAGTTGCTATCTTAACTTCAGAGAAATCTCTGACATATATTCACATAATGTTTATGTGAAAACCCAACCAGACATGGTATTGGGAGAGAGGAGTAAATGCTATTTTAGGATATTAGAGGAAAAAAAAAGGAAGACAAGGGAATCCAAAAATAGATGTAATAGATGTGGTCACTCACAAGCCACAGAACTTTTGAGATAAGATTCTGCTGGATTTCTTATATAATAAGGTGAGTTCTAAATTTGTAAAGGTAAAATGTGAGAAAAAGCACAGAAACAAGAATAAGTGTGAGAAATGCTACCTTCTCAGTAAGTGACTGTGTCTGGGGCTGCACACACACTTAATCTTCCTGCCTGGCTTCAAGGTGCCATTCCTTTCATGGGGCAGCTAAGTAACTGAACATTGGAAGCTACATATCCATGAGCCTCACAAGGAGGAATTCAACTTTCCATTGCGCCAGCTAAGTTTGGACAAGACTGAGAGCTTGTACAAGACTGAGACTAACCAGGTGACTCTAGCCTGAGTCAGGGGCATGAGAAGAAAAGGATGTGATGTCTGGATTTAATGTGGGCTGCTTACAGAGTTGTCGTCAACCATCTGGGGGCACGGAGTACTTCATTAGTCAAAATTAACTATTTTTGATAGAAAACAATTGAAATCAGATTGCTAAGATTTAAAGCAATTATATTCATTTTGCCTCTCTCCAGGATTGAAGCAATAATTCATATGCATGCTCAATGAAGGTCTTCCAGAGGGCTTACCTTAAACAGCTTACAAAGCTCACTATCAGCCATTCTTCTCACACACTAACACACTTGGGTGTGGAGTTTCACCATAGGCTGGGGACTTTAAGAACTTCCATGAATTATTACACTGGATACTCACAAAACTAATTTTCAACAGTCAGCACTATTTTAATCCCTGC